TATTATTTTTTTGGGACCAATTTCGGTCCGCTTATTTCAATTTCTCAATAATTATTTATATTTCTTACTGAAATATCGGTCCGGATACTATATATATACGGACCGATTATACGTCGATCTGTATATTATACTTATTCGTACCAGGTTTTTTCGGATCAACTATAAGGACCAATATCAGTCCGTATATATATATTCACACCGATTGGTTATATATCCAGACCGATTTTTCGGTCCGGATATCCCATTCCTGCAGTAGTGAAAGATTATGATTAATTAAGTACCAAAATAATTACTTTAAATTTATTTGAACAATAAAAAAGAAAGAAACTTTAATTAAAAGCAATAAAAAAAATAACAATTAAAATCAAACTAATCAAAATATGAGGTACTAAAGTATTGATTTCAGCATATTCAATCAATATAAATTCTGGATTAATATACTTTGAAAACCAATTTATTGAATATTATTGCATGTGATGATAGATTTCTCTAAATTAATTAACCAATTTTCCCAAGGCAAGTTAATCATTCCCTTACTTGTCAAATTAAACAAACAGATGAGCATTAAATTCTATGGAAACCTCTAGCTTAGGAAGGGGGAGCTCCTAACTCTCTTCTCTTCCTCCATTACCACATGTGAATTAATTACCTTTCAGTCTTATAATCTAACACACGGTTTATATTAGCAATAATCTTCATAATGCATTTGTAAATTAGATTGCAGCAGGATATAGGCCTAAATTCAGTCATCTTAGATGGGCAGACACCTTAGGCACTAAAGAAATAATTGAGACGAATTCTTGTACTGCTTTTGTAACCAAGTCTCCAACAATGCTCCAAGCTCTTTTATAGAACTCAACAGTATACCCATTTGGTCTAGGGCTCTTGTTAATTGGGCTACTAAAAAGAACTAATCTACATTCTTCTGTTGTAACCGGCTGAATTAGTGCTTCTCGAGTTGCTTCAGATAGTTGAAAGTCAAAGAGAGCTTTCAACTGATCAAGATCCCCCCAATGCAGCAAGGATCCTCACTCCCTAGAAAAGCTTGGTAAAAACCAATAACTTCATTTGCAATATCCTCATGTTTAGTGAGTATTTTATCATCTTCAGTATGCAATTCTTTTATCAGGTTCTTACTTTCTCAACCTTTCATAACTTTATGAAAGTAAGTAGTATTTTGGTCTCCAACCTGTAGCCAATGCACTCTAGATTTTTGTTTTAGAAAGGCTTCTTTAGCAAGTGATAGCTCTGCCACCATCCTAGCTTGTTCTTATTCCACCAAAACCAAATCTTCATGAGGATTAGCTAACAATTCAATTTGGATAGCATGTAATTTTGAAGTCTCTTATTGAATCCTTCCTTGCAGATCATTGTAACAATCCTTATTAAGCTATCATAGAGGGGCCTTACGAGCCTTCAACTTTTTGCAAAGCTAAAACATGTAGCATCCTAAAACTGTGATAGATGGCCAAACCTCCTAGACAATGTTTACAAACTTTTCATTCTTTGTCAAAAATTTGAAAAATCTGAAA